GCTAAAATAATAGAAAAGTTATTTTGATTTTCTGAGTTATATAAATCATCCCATTCGGTTGAATATCCTATTGATTGTAATGTGAATACCCCATTGGTTGTGGTCATACTAGTTTTAGAAACCACATTCCTCTGTACCTGGAGGCCAAGACTGCAAACTACTCTAAATTGCCTCAGTGGCTCCAGATAATGCGTTCCATTGATTCAGTGGTCCCAAGACCCGAAACTATAATTAATCTTTGCAGATAACTAATTGGCTCAATCTAGCTTCTGTAACAAACTGCTTTTTTGAAAACCAGGTTCCTCATTCCAAACCCCAAGATGTAATCAATACCTTTGTGATTTTTGCCTATATAAACCTGGTGTGGCCGCTCCTAAACCACTAGATTTGGAGAGAAAAATGCCCCCTTGTAGTCCCGGCTTTGAAATAAATGTGACTCCTTAATTCAACTACTTGAGGCGTCCTTGTGTGATTTGCAGGGTACATTATAACACCAGCACACTGGGAGGTGGAGAGTATCTGACACCTTTGTTATGTAGTGGGAGCTGTGACCCTGATTCTCACTGATATGAAATTTTTGGATTGGAAGCCAGATTTGTTGTCCCCCTGAATCGAAGAATGAATCCACAGACAGAAGGTGGTATAGCAAAGATGGAAATTTATTGAAGAACAAGTACAGACTCCCACATGGGGAGAGGGAACCACTCACTCACCTCCCACCAAGTGTCTCCCAAACCTTGTTTGCAAACCTTGGGATAGCAGCGGGTCCCACTGAATTCTTTTTCCCTATGGCTTATAAAGGCTGCAGATCCTGGTTCCTTGATATCCTCTTTGATTTGGTTACTATAGCAACCCCTGGGCTCAAAGGTTGAACCTCACATGAGATATGTGAGGTTCTCTCCCCCTCCTTCCCTGTTGTTTTCCTATTCCCTTTGGGCTTTCTTCTTCTTCAGAATGAAGGGCTTCCTTCTCTTTATTTTGTAAATAGAGACCTTTTTTGGCTACTTCAAGTTCCCTTGTCTTATGAAAATATACCTGTTCCTGCTTCCTTGTCTTATGGAAATGAACCTTCTCCCAATCTGCAGTCCCTTGCTTTTCCATGGACCCAAATTCTAAAAAATCCCTAAGCCTGCCTATATCCCCTAAATTTCCTGCTTCATCATCAGGAATGGTGTCCCTCATCACATAGGAAGCATTCTCATTCTTTGTAGCCAAGAGGGGAAAAAAGACAAATGACTCTCACAGGACATGATTTCTGGAGACATAAGTGTTATGCCCAGATTTCAGGATCCCCAAAAGACCACCAGGGAGCCAGCCGTGTCCGATGCGAAAACAAAGAGTCTTTTATTCAAACCCGGGTCTGGCTCCCCTACCCTCCTTACTGACACAGCAGCAGGTGGCAGAGAGAGACCTAGCCAGGTGTGAAGAGGAGTTTTATAGGGGGGTGGAGTAAGGGGAGGAGAGGGGTCTGTGGGCCCTGCCGATTGGCCAGGCACAAGTCAGTGTCTCGTTACACAGGATGTGGTCATATTGATGGGGTGCACTTTCCTTGATTGTCATTGGTTAGTTTAGAGAAATTCTGGGTGTGGCTAGCAGAGGCTTGGGCTTCTGGGAAGAAGCCTTGCCGAGCACATGGCTCTGCATAAAAATGGAGGACACAGGGTAAGATGGAGGGCGTAGTCCTTGCCCTTTCAATAAGGAGCCCTGGGATTCTAGGTCTCTCTGGCATATCCCTGGGCAGGCCCTCCTGCACCACAGACTCCTGGCTCTCCAGTTAGTTAAGGACATAGATGAATGACCCAATGGTGACCTCTCTGTTCCATACTGTGTATTTTCACTCCCATAATTTGCTCCTCTATTTTCTGGTATGTGCTACTATAGCAGATATTTAATCTTAGAGGATGTAGGAATAGTTAAACTTTTCCCAACCATTTCTGTTTTTAGAAACAGCCAGCTCATGCTTCTAATTGTCCCTAGTGCTACACTCTAGGATGGGCCAACTCTCCCTCTAGTGGCCACTTGTTTAATCTTCCCACAGTTACCTAAAAGCTAAAGGCCAGGGATTATCAACCTTTTTCATCTCATGACACACAGATACTCATTCCTAAAATTCTGCGGTACACCAAAAATATATGATATTTTCTGTTGATCTAACAAAAATAGATATAATTTTGATTCATTCACACTGGACACCTATCCCATTTTGATTCATTCACACTGGACAGCTATCATTGTGTTGGCTGTTGTCATTTTCTTATTTGCTATTCTAAGGGAAAAGAGGTCAGTGCCCCTGACTAAATAGTCAGGTTTTATATGTTTTAAAAATTCTTGCAGCACACCAATGTGCTATGGCACACAGGTTGAAAATCACTGCTTTAGACTAGTGTCATTCAAAACTTGGACTGCTATTTATAATAAAAACTATATTTTAAATTTCAACTCTGTTCACATACACATATATAACTAAAATAAAAGTTTCAAAAAACAGTATTTTCTGTCTGTGAAATATGCTGTGGACTTTTCTATTCTGGTCTCTTTTCATTTATATTAGTTTAACCACTAAGTGGATTTAATAATTTCAAACACCAGTAATTTGCAACACATTAGACTCTTATTAAAATTGAATTTATCTTGCAATCTATTGATAGGTATTTCTCCCAAATAGACACACACACACGCAAACACACACACACACACACACACACACGCACACACCTGTAACCAAATGCCTGATAAGCTGCCCACCCTATTCCTTTCTTTTATTTTCATACATTTGCTTACAAAGACTTGGAAAATCCCTGCAGTAAGGAAACCTGCTTCACTTTGCATAACTTAGTGTTTTCTTAATTTAACTATTGAATGAGTATTCCCAAAGTATACATAAGCAACAAAATTAAACAGGCTATGAGTAGCTCATGAAATGAGTATTCCAAGGAATGAAATTTTGGGTAATTCTGCTTTAAATGGAGGAAGAAATCCACAAATAAATCCAAGTGCCAAATGCACAATAAGTTTCAGCAGAGATCTGAGTGGCTGGTGTGCAGTGACCCCCGGAGGTGCACTTTAAAAACCTTGGAGGATGAATGGACAAAACTTGTTTTCTTGGTAGGAAATTTGGAGGTCAAGACAGAAGAACTCTGTTCAAGCTAAAAGGGGTGAATCACCAAGTGACAGGCAGGACATTCAGAAATAGGGTCCCTCTGTTCACCTCTTACCCAGATGCTTTTTGCAACTGCTATTGCTAAATGGCTGTCCCCCAAAGTCTAGAAGGAGGGTAAAGTCAATGACACCAGAGGGCCAGGAGTTTGTGGGGATGTGCTGATCCAATTCAGGAAACATTTTTGCCTAGTGCATTAGCTTACAGGGACTGGCAGAATAACAACAGGCTAAACATATAGTTCTCAAAACAGCTGAAGAGTGCACATGCTATGAAAGGGGTGAGTGCAATAGCCAGCTGGACAGCTCCTGGAAGTCTGCAGGACAGTGCAAGGTGAGAAGCACATATGGTACCTGGGCAACACAGCAGTATCTGAGGAAGTGCGTCTAGGTCAGAAAACAAGCCAGGGTCCGAATGTTAGGTCAGAAAACAAGCCAGGGTCCGAATGAGACAGTTAAGTCTTGTTTACTGCACTGAAATTCTGTTAGGGTGCCTTCCTTTCCCCCTCTCTAAGAACTGGGTCTCATCCTCAGGTCCTACTCAGGAGGTTAGTGTAGCTCCCATAATAAAACCGTGTGACTCCTAATACTCCTTACCCCAGCTGATTGAATGGGACTGGAGTGAATACCCAGTTCTAGCTAGAATACTCAGATTTTCTCTTGAAAATGAACATGTTCATTGAGGATAGAGTTAATCTTATGAGTTCATACTGTACTCCCTTTTTAATATTCTGTTGAAATCAGCTGGCAAACATTTTGTTGAGGATCCTTACTACTGTAATTATTAGGGACATTAACCTGCAGTTTTCTTTTCCTGGGGCATCTTTATCTGGGCAGATTTCAAAATGGTTACTTTTCTCTTCATCACAAGAACCTGGTGGGGTTCCAGAAGTAAAACCCATGGAAGAGTGGCAACCTCCCTAAGACTGCAGTCTCCTGAAGTTTCTCACTCTCAAACCCCAGTCCACACTCAGCATCCCACAATGTGTCACAATCTATAATAATAAATGTGTAATATGCTAATTAGACTGGACGACCTTCCCGACAAAGCCGGAGCTGTGAGGGATGCCGGGGTCCTGGGTGCCAGAGGGAAGCTGGTGCCAGCAGCCAGGGGAAGCCTACTCTTGCATGAATTTTGTGCATCTGGCCTCTAGTTACCATGTAATGTTCCTAGGAGCTCAAGGCTCCAGCAGCTCCTGCTCCCAGCAGAAATGACAAGGGCCCTGCACTCTGGAGCTTCTACAGACATCAGGGTGATGAGCCGAGGAAAAGTTGTTGGTTTTCAAATAGTTCAGACTTTTTCTTGTTTTAAGAAAGAGTAACAACTTTTAATGATCTCTACATTTTAGCACTGTTACCAGAGTTGAAGTGATTAATATTTTACTGTATTTTATAAAAGTTATGGTCCAAGGTAGATTGCAAATTAAAGAAAAAAACAAACAAAACAGCCCTCTAGCAAGTAATTTCAGAAGTGCTGATATAATAGCATCAGAGGCTAACAGTAACCCCACCGATGATGCTGGCATCACGATACCATCAGGAGGAAGGCGCAACAGAGTGTGTGGACCCCAATGGTTTGTCTGCACACAACATATATCCTGTGTGAGCAGTGCCTCCATGCTCATCACAAATACACTGTGGGGATATACATTAATCATTGTCCCAAGGGCCCAAATGAAATGAAAGAAAGGCAACACCTAGATTTTTCCTCACACCCAATAATTCCCCAGTCTTGCTATGAGATTGAAACACAAAAGCACACAAATATTAAGTAAAACATTTATTGTTACTCTCTGAGACCTCAGGCTATTGTGCATTAAAAGCTTGAAATTAAGGGGAGGAGGAGGGAAGGTAAACAAAGAAGAGGTCAGGTTTGAGGATGTGGGGAAAATATTCCTTTCCGGGGTGGGTCTTCACTTGATCCCACGAATAGCTGCATCCCAACGCAGGCTGCTGACTCCCACGTGACTTAAGCCTTGAACTTACAGACATAAGGTAACTTCTCATTACAGTTATAATCTTTCCAAAACAGATATCCTGGAGAGAGAGAAGAGATAAAGTGAATGGGGCTGGTGGAGCTTGTGACCCAAAGGAGAGGCATCCCAGACTCTGGCCTAGGGTTCAAATCTCTGCCCTCAACATCGCCAGGGACCCACTCCAGGGGAAGGAGACTCAAAGGAAGAAGAGATGAGAGGAGATGGGAAAAGACAAACCAACATTGCCCTCCCTAGCTGAGGAGGATTCCCTGAAGTTCAGACACAGTTGAAGGGATAGAAAGGTTGGCAAGAAGGGAGCTCCTCTGTCTCTTACCTGAGTTTCGCGACAGACTCCCACAATGGCCAGAGGTTGGGATGCTGGCGGGGACTTTCTCCCAGGCAAAGTAATTCATCACATCTTTATTACTCCACTCCCATCCATCTGCATTGGGCTCAAGGCCCTGGAGGGTAGAGAATGGAGCCAGGTAAGGTTGAATGGCTTTTGGAATTTTTGCATAGCCCTCTCTGGTGGAGGTTTGATCCCTTCCTCAGCAGGCTGGCATTTGGTCTGTTATTCCAGGTGTTGGTACAGAGCTCTCTCCACTGGGAAATTCCTCCTAACAACCCCCTTCTATTGGAAAATCTCAAAGCCAGTAATCACAAACACCAAAGGTTCCACTGAGATTAACACGTTCTTAGCTGGACAATAATTGGTGCATTTCTGATCACCCTTTGAACCTCAAACATAATGTCTATTCTATAGGGGGAAGTGCATCTTATTTTCATTTAGGATTCCATCGGGACACTATGTGCAGACTCAGTAAACTCAGAGAACTGAATCACAAGGCTTCATGTGTCAATGTTGTAAAAAGCTTCATAAGAGATAGATTAATTTCAAGTGGAAATTAGGTTCCTCCACAAACCTTAGCTCAATGCCCTACCATTACCCCAAATAAGCCCTAGAATCTCTGAGCTCCAGGGCTCAGATTCCCGCAGAGGCACATGGGACAGGGAGGAGGCCTGGGCAACAATAGCAGCTAGAAAGCTAACAGATAGGAGATGTTATCGCACCTCTGTGGGATCATGGAGCCCAATCCAGACGTAATTGCAGTTGTTCAAATTGTTCTTGACCAGAGAGGCCAAGAAGGATGCCTCAGCTCCACTGAGCACAGACGCAAGAGATCCATCACTTCGCTTCTGGCAGGCCAACTGCGTGGGGAAGGAAGACACAGAGGAGGAGCTTGAGATGTCAGGGGAGGGAGTGCAGGGTGAATGTCGGTGAGAAGAGGTGTGTGTGTGCAAAAGACGAGGGTACTCACTCTCACCCCCAAGAATCTCTGGAGAATGCAGACCTCTGCCCCCCTAATGTTCTTTCCCTTATCACCTCTTACTATTAATGCATCTACTCACATTTGCATCCGGCCAGGTTAGTGTAATGGGTGTTGGGAACTGACCTTGGGGAGTATCTGTGAGGCAAGTGCTCAGGGAAGTGACGCCAACTCCTGACTACCTCACCAGTGGATTTCTTGATCTTGAACCAGCCTCACTAAATGAAGGACCATCTCTTTCTGTTCTACTCTTCCCCTTTATTCGAAAGTCCAACACTTCCCCTGCTCTGAGCTGACTGTTCTCACACTGGGTCCTCCAGTCATTCTTGTGCTTATCTCACCACTGACCCTTCATGCTTCCTCTCTTCACCTGTCAATATAAATTAAAGTCCACCCACAAAATGAAAACCATCTTCTTCCATTGTTAAAGGACCATGTGGTGCCTCCCACCGTGAATTGCCCTGAGGGAAGGAGTGATGATGGAGGAATTGCAAACAGTTTCACTTGGTGAGGCTATACCTCACCATTGCCACATGGGTCACACAGGAGGATTCCTTATCTTCTTTGCCCTACGCGTTCCCAGGGAACTCAGTGCTACAGGCAGAGAAAGCTCACCTTGCACCTGAGATAGGAGCATCAGGCAGGAGAGCAGCATCCAGGACATTCTGGGCAGGGCCATGGGAGGCAGCATCGTGTCTCTAACTTGAAGAAGCAATCAGAGATCATTAATGAGGTATGATCAGAGAGAGGGTATTCAGAGACCCTCTGTTCTCCATCTTGTCTTTCTTTCGGTTAGTTCCCTATGAGTAAATTGAACTTGAAGACATCATTCCCTATATGATTCTGGAAATAATTTGGGAACCTGTACACCCTACTTCCCTTGAGATCAATGTTTGTTGAAGCCTAGAATCCTCCTATAGCCTTTCCCCAAATGTGTGAGGTGAACCCCTGCCATGGCTCTCACCTCTCAGCTCCCACTTACCTGTTTTGCAGGTATCTGTGATGGTTGGTCAAGCCAGGAAAGACTAGGCTTTTATAAGCAGATCTGAGGGTGGGGCCCTGAAAGGAATAACTGGAATCCAGGACAGGGATAGCGGGAAAGGGCTTGGCATTTGGTTCAAGGACATTTATGCCATGGGTTACAGCCCCTTCCTGGCAATGGCCAGCATTTTCCTTAGGAACAGGTGAAGTTTGGATTTTATCATCCTATGCCCGAATTTGTTGTTCTGCAAAACTTCTGGGAATGAAGGCAGCCCTTGACACAAATTCCGAGGTTACGTGGTTTAGAAATGTGTCATTGGGTAGATAAGGAAAATGTCAATAGTGTATTTTTTAGCCATCTGCCAAGAACTCGCTCCTCTTAGCATTTGTATAGATATGTTTTATTGTTTCTGTATATGGAAGTGCAATTAAAATATACATAAGGTGTTCTTGTTAATTTCATAACTAATTTAAACATTCAGAGAGAACAAGAAAAGACCACAGATAGTGAACAAATTTCTGAAGAAAAACAATGAGGTTAAGAATTTTTTGACAATACAGAAGGCTTTTTGCTATAAAGTAATACAGATGTGGGGATAGCAAATTTGACCAGCATGAGTGGCTCAAAACAGCAAGGCAAAATTGGCAATGCCATTTAACTTAGCCTCACAGGATGCCCATGGCCATTTCTGCAGTATCATATCATATGGATCAGCCTATCTGAAATAGCATGGAATGACACAGTATAAGAGTGTGAATACGGAGAAACAGGAATCATTGGTGCTATCTTCATACCTTGCTACCAGAGCTGGAACCTGGTACCTTTATCAGTCATGGTTCAGAAGTTCTGTGTAAGCATTTTGGTATTTTCTTTCCTCTGTCTCCTAGAAACATACCTTTTGAATCTATGTGAAACATACCATTTGTATGTGGGAGGAGGAGCGTCACTGGGTTCCATTCAGTGGCTCTCAAACTTGGAATAAACTTGAATGTTGGTGGGAGTAGGGGTCAAAGTGTTTATCTCCTGCTTGTTAAATAATCTGATTCCTAGGGGCCTCCCTCTTCAAAATGTTCAGTTAAGAACTGAATTATTCTCACTCTCCTGTTTCAAACCTTTCAGTGGTCCCTTCATTACTGACTCTTCAGTACAAGAGCTATCTCAAAGTTAGGAGATTAAAATAACAATTTATTATTATTTTACATAGTTCTGTGAGTTGACTGGGTTTATATGGATTTTCCTTGGGGTTTCTTATGCAAATAGTGGCCAGATCTTCAGTCACATGAGGGATCAAATGAACTGGACCTCAAAGATGATGACACACATGAGTGGCCGTTGAAGCTAACTATTGGCTGAGGGCTCAGTTGGGACTCTTAAACAGTGTCAACACAGAACTTTTACATGTAGCTTGGATTTCTTATCACACGGAGGTGTCAGGATAGTAGGACTTCTTTCATTGTTGGTCAGGGTGCCCAGATGGCAAAGCAGAAGCTGCCAGTCCTCTTAGAATAGGTTGAGAAATGGCATAATGCTGTTTCCATCATACTCTACTGGTCAAGCCTGAGTTTGTATTCATGAAGAACATGAAGCACACATGTTTATATAATGAATTAATCTATTTATTCACAATAATTTAGATAATCACAGCAATTGCCTTTAATTGCAGAACACCTTAAAGCAGGGGTTCTCAACCTTGGCTGCACCTGGGAATCTTTTCATAATCCTGATTTCTGGGGCTCATCCTCCAGGAATTCTGTTTCTTTGTTATGGGGTGAGGCCACAACATTAGTAACAAAGAAACAGAATTTCCAGGGGATGAGGCCCAGAAATCAGGATTTAAAAAAGATTCCCAGGTGAATCTAACGTCCATCCAAGGTTGAGAACCACTGCCTTAAAGGTTTGGGAGACTTGGATTTTAATTGTATTTCTTCCATTTAATGTGCCATTTTGAATAAGTGACTTTATCTTTGCCTCCTTGCCTCTGTGTTTCTCAGGTTTTCAAGGAGGTCTCAGGAGTACGTACATTCTATCATCCTACTATTGTTGGCTGGAATGCTGGAATATCAGGAACGTGTGTCAAGAGACACTCTGGAAAATAGTTACTGAGCCCATATTAAAATCTCAGATAATCTTTAGGAAGGGCACCTTTTTTATCTTCTTGCTCCAGAGGGATATGTGAGCAAGCGTTGAGAAAAGTACACTGCCAGGAAACCTATCTGGAAACGGAGCCATTGCAGAGAATTTTCACTTTATTATTGAGGTAGGTGGTTACTACTTGGCTGTTAGGAACAACTGATTTTCAAAATGAAAACACATAAGTGAGGAGCTCTTTGCATATTTGCATAAATCATTATACTTAAAGAATCAGTTCATCATATTTTCAATTCAACATCTTTATTCGAAGTGTCATAACTTGTTAACATTCTGAGAGCTCAGCCCCTATGGTGCTTGAGAAGAAAGAGCACCTTGCTTGAAGTACTTCATATGACTACTGGCACATGTATGAAAGAATTTAGTTACTAAAAGGTCATATTTTTTCAGAAAATCTTTTGAAACTCAGTAAAGCTTGATATGTGCTGTTTCTAAGTACTCCTTGTTCTATGGGTTAATGTGAATATAGTAGGGAGACTGACTGTATACATTAATACACTGAAATTTGAGCTAAATCAAAGAACAGAATAGGGCCCACAGGTTGATGCAGAAATAGGATTTATGAAAGAGAATGTTCTGAAGGTCAATTTTTAGAGACAAGTTTACTAAAAGAATAGGAAAAAAAATAGAAGGATTAAGTGCAGGAAGCAAACATCAGGAAATCTGAAATTCTTCAAATATCTGATTTTGTCGGTTAACTGGAGTTCAGAACTCAGAGTGAAAGCAAGTTGTGCTCCTTAACCTTGCATTTCATGGTCTGGAGTGGGAAGAAGAGAGAGGAAAGGAATTTTATAGAAAATACTACTCAAAGCACAGTGCAGAACATCAAAAACTTTCCTTTTTCATAATTCCTTTTCTCTTGATGCTTCATAGATCAACCTTTGTTGCTTAGAGAAGAACGAAGACATGAATAAGATTCTATTTTTCCTGAAAGGATGGCCAAGAGCTAGGTCAAATCAAAATGTAGACACTAGCCTGAGTATTAGCTAGAAAGGGAATAGTAGGTAAGGAAGGTAAAATAACTGGATGCCCCAAACTAGGTTCCAGGTGGAAAAGGAATGGTGTGTCTCAGAGCTGAGATTGATCCAAGACAACTGAAGAGAGTCAAGGAGCAGAACACTGAACACAAATTCAAGAGGACCCTACACTCAGGAATGGGGAGAGTGCTGGCTCCAGCCCTCAGAGGTACTTGGAATTAGATGACTCACCCAGACTAGGGAGCCTGGGTGTGTGGAGTAAAGAAACATGGGCTTGGGATTCCCAATAGGGTTCTTAGGCTGGAAATTATCTGAGAGAGTATGAATGCTTCAAAGTTATGGTGCTCACTTTCGTTTATTGAAGATGTTCCCCGAGCCTCCAGATACCCATGCTTATTTGCCGCCATGCCAGCCCAGACAGTGGGTTAGTGGAAAGGATAATCAGTGAGGTATAATCATTAAGGTTTGGGCTCTCAAGTCAGACAGACCCATCTCAGCAGGTTGGGGTGGCAATTAAACAAAACAATGAATGAATATCCTAAAGCATGATGCCGGATAAATATAATCGCACGGTAAATGACAGCTAATAGTAACATTATCTGCAGTGCCTGGTAGCGTCATAATAGATAATAGTTTTCACTGGAATAACATACATACATAAATATGGTCTGCAGATGTAAGTTATGGAGCAGTGAACCCTCTGAATTGTTTGTGTAGCTCATCTATTAGTTGACCTGATTTTTAATAATGTTCCCTTTAGGACATCAGCTTTGTTTGTTTTTTCTATACAGCATTAAGTGCAATGAAATGGTATTTATTTTTAAAGGGTGTTCAGATGTTACTAATTTAGGAAAGCACTTTACTCATAAATTCAGTCACCATGGAATTGCCAAATGAATTTGTGCAGAAACTCACCTGATTATAGATGCCATTTACTCAGCACTAATTTTGTGCCTAGCACTGAGCCAAGCGCTCTACATAAATTATTGTATTTAATATCCAGATCATCATTATGAGACAACTATGCTTACCTTGTTTTTCACACAAGAAAATGAAGCTTTGGAGAGGTTGAACTTGGTGGTGATTCCTCTTTAGAAAGAGGACTAAAATCCAAACACCAGAGCTATGGTCTTAATCAATGTTATTCACTTCTGGAGAAAACAGTTTTTTTCCTAGGGAAAAAAAAATAGAGTATTGGCCTTTGCTGCAAGACCATTAACTTCTGCACTATGTGAGAGAAAATGTTTTTTCTAAGATATTTAATTTACCATTGAGATGGACCTGACATTTAGAAGACCTGAGTCCAGAAAATCAGATTTCCGATATATGTTCATGGAGAGGATTGAAAACACCAGGGAAATTCTGTGACCAACGGCCGTGTGTGGGTATTTGCTAAGCTACATTAACCTAATGGACACTAAGAAAAAGAATGTGTTCAATAGAGTTAACAGATTCTCTTTACTTACACAAGTACAATACTAACAATTCCCTGTTTCCAGACAAACACTGATATTGTTCCCGTAACTATAATAAATCATGCAAATGCCATGAGCTCCAACTTCTCTTTGATTTAGACAATTGTCTAAATTGCCAATTCCTTCCATTATTTCTGGCATTCAGCAGCACTGAGTTAAATTCTGAAAAGATCCAATTAATTGCTCATTGACACGATAGGTTTTTGAAAGGTTTCAACTGAGTTGATGGATTCATTAATTTTAGAACATCTTATTTGCTTTCTGCTAATGGGATTTTCAGCAGGTGATTGGTTACCTATTCGAACCCTCATGCAGAGTTTAAATGCCATTTTATACAAAGATATTTACTGCACATAATATTGGTCTAATTAATTTTGGAGAGCAAGCAGGAATTGCTCTAAGTTATTCTTGTCT